ACAATCCAGTTTTGCAAAGCTCTTAAAGACTTACCCTGAAAGACTCACAGCTGTAATCACTGCCAAATGTGATTTTAACATGTATTGACTCATGGGGGATGAATACTTATCTAATCAAAATATATTAGTGTTTTATTTTCCATTAATACAACAAAAAAAACATTTTAATTCTTCTTCCGCTTTGACATTACAGAGTATTTTGTGTAGATCGTTGACAAAAAAAAAGACAATTAAATCAATTTTAATCCCACTTTGTAACAATAAAATGAGGCCAAAGTCAAGGGGTGTGAATACTTTATGAAGGCACTGGTAACATACACTGAGTGTACAAAACATTAAGTGAATCCAGGTGAAATCTATGATCCTTATTGATGTCACTTGTTAAATCCGCTTCAATCAGTGTAGATGAAGGGTAGAAGACATGTTAAATAAGGGCCAGCATAGCGTGCCTGTGGAACGCTTGGTACCTTGTAAAGTCCATGCCCTGACAAATTGGGGCTGTTCTAAGGGCAAAAGGGGGTGCAACTCATTGTATATCCATCCTCTCAGATAATGTATGTCAAATTCCTTCCATATTGCTTTGTAACACTTTTTACTTTCTAATAAAACAGCTATATGAGCAAGAATAATTGGTGTAAGCACTGTTGAACAATTATGAGAGATAAATAAGCCTATAACAAATACAGGTAATTATATGAACTTTTCATGTTACATAATCACAACCAGTTATACAACAGTTTCATGTGTGTGATTGTCATAAACAAATCACCTCAAAGGCTGACGAAAGAGCCTCTGGGATAAGGAAATGACCAATACCAAGCCCATGTAAATATATCAAGTTTTATTTGTGCTAACAGGTATTATGCAATATAAATACTTTGAAAATACGGCCCCATCATCTAAAGTCCTAAAAGTCACAGAATATCTGAGCACTGAGTGAACATTGCTAATCATTATGAAGCGTTCTGATTAATACATGTCCATCTAAGCCCTAACCTTTCTTATTACAAATGTCTACCATTTTACAATCTATATAATTCTGACTTCAATTCATAAAAAACTACTTTTTTTTTTCTTTTTTTTTCTTTTTTACATACGACAATCGATCAAGGTGGATATCTATCATATACAATTAAATAAATAACGTAGTAATAACATCAGATTGGTACTGTTTTACATGGATGGCTTTCTTTCCTTGTACGCAGCTAAAATAACTTGAAAGAACTGCAGAAGCCATTTCTAAGACTGAGATATCCAGTGATTCATCAAAACACAAAAGTAAAACACAGCAAAAAGGAACTAAAGAACAGGGTTTCGAAACAGACAATCCAAGACTGACCCACAATCCTCCTCAATAAAGAGTAGTCATTTTCATGGAGTCAAACTGCATGCACATTTACCTTCTAAAGGGAAATGTTTCTGTTCTCAGACCTCAAAAGTGGCCTTCTGTTCAAGTCCACATCACCATTGGTTGTGTAGATCTAGCTATATGCATGAAGCACTGCAAATCTGTAAGTTACATAGTGCTTTTCCATTCATTTGTTTTGGATTCATTTTCCATTCCGTCTGGATCAGATAGCCTGGGACGTGGACTTATCTCAACAGAAGACAACTTTCTGAGGTCTGAGAAACACGTTTGAAATGTTCCACATGGTCAGTGCTCCCTAGCGATGGAAGCCAGTCTTTCAATGTTGGGATATCAACTTGAGTGAACATACAGACTTAACGCAACAGAACATACATAGTCAGCAGTAGTGATGTAGTGGTAAAACAAAAGGTGGGTAAACTATATAAATCCAGTGGGCGATGGAGATAAGACGAACTATACAAATGAAAACGTATTACATTTTTATAGCTGTATTGTTTGCATTTTAATGTAGGCCTATAGGGAAGGTAGGACATTGGGAGATATTGAAATATATCTTATTTTTTAAAGTTTGTTTGATAATATTAATTATTAGTACAGATTTTCTTAGAGGCCACCACATGGGGCCCCGACCCCAAGTTTGGGAACCACTGTACTTACCTCTCTCTCTCTGCTTGCTTCCCCTCTCTCTGTGTCTCCTCTGCCTCCTCCTGCATGCTTTGCAGCCTGCCTCAGCCTCACCACTGTCTGCCACACCACTGTCTGTCTGACTAGTACCACAGATAGAACAATGAGCCAGATATTTCACCGGATGTATAAATGTGAAGCATCCGGTTGGCGTTTCCACTCACTACCAAATATGGTGATGAGAGGAAGCCCAGTTGCCGGCAGTGGGAGAAGATGGAGCGAGATGGATTTTGGGCGACATTCTGCAACAACAAAGAAATGTATGAAACATTTGATTTCCATACAGTTTTCTGTTTACAAAACTAGAATCTGTAACAGAGTGGACTGTGTTTTGTAGACTTTACCCTTTGCCAAAGTTGTGTTGTTTAGTAGGAGTGCAAGGGCGAATTTCGTTATTGCGCACTTCACAGAGTAGGCGTTCCCTAATGGAAATATGGAAATAAATGCTAGAACGCACCAGTTGGATATCACTAACTCGTGCTTGGCTCTGCCCACCTCATTGCTTATTCTGCCCACTATAATTAATTTGCTCCCATTGGAAACCACAGGCTCTGGTCCATCTTGGGTGAGTTATAAAAATCTTAACTAGTACTGTATATAAAGCAAAGGTAGAATGAGAACTTAGTAGCTTTATATTTGTCCTGTTACTTACAAGTGTATAATGGAAATTAGTTTTTTGCATATTCCAACTCCACAAGTCACTTGCAGGGGGTAGGGTCACGACCAGGGTTGCCATTGTACAGCGCCCCTGGAGCAATTAGGGTTAAGTGCCTTGCTCAATGGCACAGCGGCAGATTGTTTTCTTTCACATTGTTGGCTCAAGAATTCGAACCAGCAACCTTTTGGTTACTGGCCCAACGCTCTAACCTCGAGGCTACTTGCCAGCGTTTTGTGTGTTTACCCTCCATTACATCGCTGGTCAGCAGAGTCTAGCATAGTTGTTGTTCATGTAAACATGGCTGGACATGGCTGGTAAGTCACAAACAGCTGCCTCATTATTGCTGCTTAAAGATGGACTCCTCAGTGGGGGAAATCATGCCACTGTCCACCCCATGGCCATTGTTATTGATTTTGTTTGTTGGACGAAGCAGAGGTGGGGAGAGTCGTGCATCAAGGTAAAAAAAAAGAAATGCACTACATATGCTGCTGTTCTATCGCGATGATGTCCGAGAGAAAAAAAGTGTTTGTTGTTTGCAGTAATTTGTTTCTTGTTGTAATATCACAAATGGACATGGCAGTTTCACCATTAAAGATTCCAGCTTTAAAGGTGGATGGTAACTTTGCTTGTGTGAGCTGGATGACCTGACCAATCCAAACCGTTTCCAAATAATACAAAAAAAGTGTCAAAAGCTAAAATAAACAGATGACTAAAACACTTACACACATTCACAGTAAACACACATACCAATCCGATTACTTCAACATTTTCTATCAATTCTCTGCAGGGCTATAATATGAAAGTTTCAGTCTTTGCTTGTCTTTTTGATCTGACATGGATTTAAAGGGTTTGCATTAAAGGTTACATAAAACATCATGGGGGATCCTGGTTTCCTGCCCTTTAACAACTGATTTAGGATCAGTTATCACTAACCCAGCCTGAACTCAATCATCACAAGCTAAACAACTACACCATCTCTAGGTCAGTATACTGTCACCACAGAAACATCTAAGCCCAGTGTGTGATGTAGCAGATGGTTAAGTGAATTGCTACTGCCTTCCTGAGAAGTTATGTCGCTCTGGATGCAGAAATGCCTTGGCCTTTCTGTGTCCAAGGTATTGACGGTGCTTCTTGGGTATGTTGAGTTACAGTGCAGAGGGTTGTGAGTTCACGCCCCAGTTGGGGATAAATGTCCACTCTGCACGTCCACATGTAATGGTAGCTTTTTCAGTCCGGGAGGGTTAGTTAGTTGTAAACAAAGAGTGTCCCTTGAGACAATTGGGCCCATCAAGTGAAGAGCCACTGTTCTCCTGTAGTCATGGCTTGGTTCCTGTGAGGGACTGCAGGCTTCTCATCTTGCAACAGTACATTTTGGGAAGTCGAGTTTTCAGGGCATGTGGCATGCAGAGTTTTCATGTCCCCTTCCTAAGAGAGGCTGTGGAAGCAGAGGAACGACCACTCACCTGCAGAGGACAGAGACAACGAGCAAAATGGAGTCAGATCACAGATCATACTAAGACACGTGTGTGTGTGTGTGCGCGTGCGTTTTTCTGAGTGTATTTGTGTGTGTGCAAGTATACTTCTGTGTGTGTTTCTGAATGTGCAAAAATATCAGTTTGCGTGAGTGTGTGAGTTCATCTTTCGGTGTGTGCCAGTGTGTCATCACGTCTCACGCATTATAAAGGCAACAGAAGAGGAAGAACATAAGAAGAGAACAACAGACAGGTAGGTAGAGAGCGTCCAGGAGGGCCTGCGTGTGGTCATGATTGGCAGGATGTTGACATGCCATATGGAGACGCACGACTGTTTACCCCGAGGGGGATGTCAAGGCTTTTTTATTTTTTGTTTTCCTGTCAGCTCCTCGTACCAAACAGAGAAAGAGGTAGACAGCCGTCTGACACAGACGCTCAAGTATCACTGCCTCGCCTTTAGTGTTTCAAACACTGATTTCTCTTTTGGATTCTCAGAGCTGGGAGCAGAAAAGAGTGGTGAGGGATTTTTTTAAAGGTCTAAATATCGTTTGTATTGTGTTATTGACAGGATAGTGGGAAGGCAAAGAGGGAGCTATACATCGAAGAGGGGCACAGACAGTAAGGAGACGGATTCTGTTTCTATGCATTAAATCCTATCCGATAGCTGAAATCCAGATAGGTAACTTGTAATAAACTTGGCCCAGGGTGCATATAGGGGGGCATTACCACTCAACCAGACTCTGGCAAAGGTGAGGAATTATAAGGGGGAGAACCGTCACAGCAAAACAAAACCCAAACAAGGAAAATAGCATACTTGTTTGGAGGCCTCTGTGGAGGAATGGACTTCATTTCCAAAATGACCATTGTACTGCAGTATCGCTGTAGAAACAAGAGAGACAGAGCAACACTTTAGAATCCCAAGACCTTCACAACCAAGACAAGAAAAAACTGAATCTAATAATATCACAGTAAGTTAAGGTATCTGGTGTATTTTTCGGGCAATATTCTGTTTAGATTTCAAGGTAATATTGCCTTGGAGTGACAAACGGGAAGAAATTATGGCTTTTCTGCTTATTCTAGTTTTTGGTCTTCCAGTGAATTGTGGGATATATATATATATGCCATTTAGTAGACACTTTTATCAAAAGCAACTTACAGTCACTCATAAGTTTTATATATGGGTGGTCCAGGGAATCGAACCCACTATCCTGGCTTTGCAAGCGCCATGCTCTACCAACTGAACTACAGAGGACCAATGGTCACTGTGCTGGTGGCCAGGCATCTCATTAGCATGCACACACACCAATTACTGTACATCCCCATAACTGACATCTGATTAATAATGTATAAACATTTTCACAGGTCAGTGTCACAAGCAAATGTGTTTGTTCAAAGTTGAAGGACTGCCATCCAAGGACAAAAGCACACACAAAGGCAGACTGGCATGCACAGGCACAACACACACCTTGTAAAGAAATTTCAATTCCTTTTTTTGTTTTTTCATGTGTGTGTGTGCAAATCTGTGCTTGCACCAATCTATTCAGCCTCTGCTTGCACCAATCCAATTCTGGGTTGTTACCGTCTGAAGTCTGAACACAAGAACGCATAGAAAACAATGCCGACCACTGCCGGACCAGCTGGATTATCTAACATACTCCGTTTTCTAACACTTTTATAAAATCATTAACACCACTCTCTTGCCTCTATTTTTCTAGGTTGGTAGCTAGCTAGATAGTTTGCTTTGTTCATGGAGTAAATGCTAGCATTGCAGCTGACCTGCTACAGTATGCTAATGTTAGCTAGCCAGCTAGCTCTAATTGCAGTGTTGGATAGGTAGCTAACCTGTTCCATTGATGAAAATTGAGACAATTTTTACTTATCCAATCGTTTTACCCACCGGTACTGTGCAGCAGGCATGTATTATGCAAAAACAGTAGCTAGTTAGTTAGCTCATAGTTTTTTTTCCAAGATTTGTATTGAACAGAATAAAGTCAGAGTTATAGCGTGGAAAGAATAGGAGTGAGAGTCAAAGGGCTGTGGGTCAGATTTGAACCCATGCAGTCACAGGTATACATGTGTGCTGGAGGGGGCGAAGCTAACCGCTAGACCACCTAAGCCACAGAGTATTGGGCTCATTACTACTTCCAATGTGCCATTAAGATGGGGGAGGGGTAGGCTTCCTTCAGGGCAGTGGATGACGACTTTCGTACCAAATCTGACAGCCCTGACACACCCCCTGGCTGCCTAGGAGGTAACACATAAATTACTGCAAATTAAATTGCCGGGCCTCTGATGTGCCCTTGGCCAGCGCTCCCGTGTCACATGTCAGATGTGCTCCTCTCGCTCTTTTTCTCTCTCTATGTCTGCCTATCCCTCTCACTAGGTCACTCTTTCACTCCCTCTTGTTTCTCCCTCTCTTTCCCTGTACTTGCTCGCTGCTCTTTCCCCTGCTGTCACCCCGATTGTGTCAGGTCGCTCTGATGTTCTGGGAGTGGAATTTACTGTATGTGTGTGCGTGTGTGTGTGTGTGTGTGTGTGTGGCCTCGATGCCGCCTCTTTCATTCTCCCTTTCTCTCTCTGACACACACACACACACACACACACACACCCTTATCCTTGTCACACAGTACTGGGTGCCCACTGCCCATCTGTGTCACTGTGATCCCTGCACGCACATACTGACATACCAGTGGAGGCTGCTGAGGGGAAGACGGCTCATAATAATGGCTGGAATGGAGTTAATAGAATGCTATTAAAACACGTGTTTGATACCATTCCATTCACTCCGTTCCAGCCATTATTATGAGCCGTCCTCCCCGTCCACTGTGACACACACACACCACCCCAGGACCTACACACAGGTCGACAGCAGACAGAGAGACCTATTCCTTGACTGGTAGAAACATGCACTGTCCTTCTGTCGGCCTTGGTAAACATGTTTCCCCCAAGCTATTAGTATTCATGGAAAAACACTCGAAGAAAAACAGAAAAGGCGGAGGAGAAATCAAATGAAAAACTCATACTACTAAGGTCACTTTATTACATGTGACTCAAAGGGCTAAAGAGAACGATGATGTTATCTACGACGACAAGCTGCAGGTTAGAGCTGCTACTCTCGACGTGACCTTAGTGTACAGTGTAGAGTACATGGTCCGTTTTGTGAATGTCTATCTTTCTCTTCCTCTCTGTGTGTCTGTGTACATGCTGAATTATGTAGGGCTGTGGTGAACATTACCCAATGCCATTGTCATTAATGGACTACATTACCCAACACTCAATCCCCCCTTACCTTGTGGGTCAAGCCTGGGATCTACAAAGCCCCAGTGCTGGTAGAGAGCTGCCAGGTCGTGGGGGTTGTAGTTCTTCAACAGACCCAGGATGTCCATGTCCATCGGGGTGTCTCTGCTGTCCCCAGCAGTCGACTCCCTCTTCCCGTGGCCGAGGAGTGTGGCGGGTGCCAGGTACCCGCTGCTGCCCTGCGCCCCAAACATATTTGTGACTGACCAAAGGTGTTGACCTTTCGGGGCTGCAGGGGGATTCTGTGGATGGCTGTGGGAGTGTGGATGGGGCTGGGGGTGTAGGTGAGTTCTGTCTGGGGTAAGATGGGACGCGTGGTCGGCCCTGCCATGGTTCCTGGCGAGAATAAAGCCGAGGCCCTCTTGTGGAAGCAGGCTTCCCTTCGCAGCCGCCGGATGATGGCTTCCAGATTTTGGGCTGCTTGTCGACTTCTGGGAGAAGCCTCGGATGCTGGTTGAGGCGGTGGTGGCAGGAGCTTTGAGGTGGGCTTCCGTTTTAGATCGGGCGATCTTATTTGCCACCTCCTCCGTATGGCTTGGGCGGCTCGACGACTTCTTCTTTTGCGGTAGGAGCGACTCCCCACCACTAGGGGGCGACCTTGTGGAGGTACGCGACCCTGACACCATGGCCTGGCTGGTGTTGGACTGGGCAGTAGTACTTGTAGTGCTTGTGTGGGTCTTTGGCCTCTTTGTGCCTCCACCTGAAGGTTGTGTGGTGGTGGAACCTGGGGCTTTTGTGCGCTGGGCCCGGGGAACTGGGAGCGCTGGGCAGTCTTTGCCCTCCAGGAACGGTGGGGGCCCTGTGCGTCGTCCTGCAGCCTTGGAGCCCACGAAACCGGCCACGTAGGGGGCCCATTTGGGGGCCAGGGAGCTGCCACTATCCACCCTGTGGGCCACACGCTGGTGGATCCACAGAACCTCCAGGTAATGGGTTGTGTGGGTGCAGAACGGACACTGGTGTCTGACCAGCTTACCCTCGGACGGCGCTGCCACAGGGTTCGCACCACTATCCTCCTGCTGGCCCTCAGGCGGGGCAGATAGGTTGAGGAGGCTGGCGTTGATGATGGCATCCTGAGAGGATTGCCCTTTGACCTTTAGGCTTGACTTCTCTGACTGGCCGCTTGATGCCGCCCTCTCCAGGCCAGGAGGATTCCAGTAGGGCTGGCTGAGCAGTGTGCTCTTCAGCCGGAGATATTCCATGTAACCTGAGGCTTTGGGAGCGCCGTGGCTCGGGTCTTCCATAACAGCTCCCAGTATGTGATGATGTGCATCCCTGATGTGCTTGTGCAGCTTGTGCATGTGGGACGTGAAGCAAGAGGGGTCGCTGGTGTGGAAGTCACAGTGCTTGCAGAAGTATGGCTTGGTATCTGTGGATAGCAGAGTACAGGTAGACTAAGCTCACATTGAAAAACAGACAATTTAAGAAAATGAGCTTCAGCAAGATGTGAAGATTTAATAAATGGTAACATGCTTTCACGAACATGTGGATGAGAGAGGAGGACATTGTCATGCTACTTTTCATCAGTCCTTTTTCAGTCATTTACCCTAAACTCAACTATTTGCAATATAAGATAAATTCAACTGTGTTCATAATCCAACATAACTTTTAACATTTAATGAAGCCTTCATGAACCCTTTAAGGCATATAGTATATTCCAGAAAACATTCATAAACAAATGTCAAGCTATATGAATGGTACAGAAAGGGTTATGCCTAGAAGTACCAGAAGTAAGGGCCTTTCATATTCCTTTATGTAGGATGAAGGGTGGAATGGGCAATCCATGCCACACGATGGCGCCATGAAGCCATATCATTTGCAGTGGTACCCTAAAGGCAACTGCTGCACACATTTTACCTGTATGAGTACTGCTCCATGGCAACTGAACACCAGCTTTTAACTGGAAAACTGAACTAAGACACCCACTTCCATACTACTTCAAATGTGAGTAATAATTATATCTATCACTTTTTGCTTGTCAATGTCATGAGTGTAATTTCAAACATTACAAGACTATTACAAACTTGTAAGTTGCTAGTTATGGGCATATTTATCATGTAACCATGTACTTATGATTCTTGGTTAATACCGTTATCAAGAGGACTGGGAAGGTAACCATTTATTATCCTATCACAGAGTTTAAAAGTAAAAGCAGCATCACTTTTCAGACTGTCTTGTCTACAATAATCAGTTGGTGTACAATAATACATTCAAATTAAACCACAACATAAGAAGAGGAACCTGTTTGACAAACTGCTCAATGTGCAGTCTACTATGCTAAGTATGCTACATACTTCAGCAGCTCGTGAGAGAGATGTGTCCACATACACTGAGGCATTTAGTTATGTTGAGATCTGTAATTTGATTAATCAACACGAGGTCTCCTGATACCATGGGACGATATTAGATTGATCATAACTCAGGACTGAGTAGCAAAAGAAACCAAACCAACCATGACTGAATCACTGTGAAAAATCAGATTTACTTCAATTAATATGGAAGTGAGATTTGGTGTGGTAATGTCTGTATTTTGGGGGGAATGATTTCATTATTGCTGTAATGCTCATTTTTGAGGAAAACTTTTCAAATCAGGATTTTAAGTGTGAATATAACCAAGATGCCTTTTGTCATGTAATTTCAGGAAAATCAAATTATTGTTGCTAATCTAGGTGATAGTGTGGTTTTGTCTTACCTTCATAGGTTGGGTCCCTGATACTATTCCTCTTTATGGAAATGGCAGAGAGAGAATCTTCTTGTCTTGTTGTGCTGGGCTGACTGGCAGAGTTTGATTTGGTGGCTTGCTTGCTGGCTTGATGACCATCTTTCACCTTTTTCTGCAATATTCCAAACGTCTCTGGGCTGAGCCCATTCAACAAGGTGCGGCTATTTCTACTGTCACCCTGCTGGTGGGAGATCCCACCATTAATGACAACATCCTGGGCCCCTTTCTTCTTCTTGCTTTGGGAGGAGTCCAGCTGCCTCTTCCGCTTCTCCTGTTTCAGCGGCACATACTCGCCCTTCTCCCGGTCAAACGCCACGTCGGCATCCGCCAGCCTCTCCTCCCAGCCTAGGCTTTTATCTGTCACCTCCACCACACGCCCTCCTCTGGTGACCAACTGCCAGGCCTGGTAACTGCATACTGGGTCCAGCTCGGGGATCCGTCTTCCAAGACTCCCCTCCCTAGCTGCCTCTCCAGCCCCAGCTGCCCTGAGGTTAAGGCATTCCAGGAAGCGCCTCTTGGCGGCGGGTGATAACGAGCCGTTGTCGGGGTCTTGCTGCGTCGGCTTGCTGGGGGTGTGGCTCTGCTTGTGGACCCTCTCATGCAGCCTGAGGGTCTTGCGGTCATAAAAGAAGTTGCCACAGCCGGCACACAGCTCGTAGAGACAGTCATCGTTCACCAGGGACGCCGGCTCCCGGGGGACGCCGTTGAGGGTGGTCGGGGACTCGCTGCTGTCACCACCCCCACCTCGCAGCTGGCTCTTGGCCCGATGAATCCTCATGTGGCTCTGGAGGAACCAGGCCTGGCGGAAGCGCCGGCCGCAGATGCGGCAGCCGTGGTCCAGGGAGCCGCGGTGCTTCTTCATGTGGGCCTTGAGAAGCAGGGCCTGGGGGAAGACTTGGCTGCAAGAGCCGCAGGGGAAGGAGCCAGCACTGGCCTCCTCGTCCCTGTCGTCCACCCAGTTGGTCCCTCCCGGAAATGAGTTGCCCTCAGCCGTGGTTTGCGGCTTGTCCTCCTTGCCGTCATCCTGGACGACTGTGTCTTCGCCTTTCTTCTTGGAGCTTTTCTTTTTTGTCTTGCCGTTGACTTTGTGCTTCTTGGCCGAGGTGCCTTTGGCAAGGTTGTTGTCGGGACTATCCAGTTTCTGGGGGTCCCCCTGTGTTTGTCCTTGCTCCCCATCCCCCTCCTCCACCCTTTTCTTGCCCTCCCCTTCCTTCTTGCCCAGGCTTCGGCTGAACAGGCCCAGCTTGTGGCTGCGGATGTGGACTTTCAGGCTGCCCTTCTGGGCCGCCTGGTGTTCGCAGTAGGGACACTTGTAGGGCTTCTCTCCGGTGTGCCTGCGCATGTGCTGGGACAGCGAGCTCAGGAGAGGGAAGCTCCGTCCGCAGAGACCACAGGTGTGGCCAGAGGCCGTCGCATTGTCCTCCTCCTGGTCACTCTTGACAGCGTCGGCCTTGCTTTGGTCCGCCCGCTCCTGCTTCGACACCACCTCCATGGACTGTGGCAGTTCAAGTGTCTGTTGATCCCTGATGAAGAAAATTGACCCGTGCGTTCCAAAGTCATAAGGTTCTCATAGTGATTGTGATGAGGGAAAGGTCTGTAGATGTTTCTTTACTTCTGTTGTTCGAGGGATTTTCTTTAACAATCATTAAGACTGGAGATTATCATTGAAAAACACAAGAAAAAGACAAGAAAAAACAATTAGGCCATATTATAAATCTAAGAATAGGTTTTATTATAACCACGCAACCAATACAATAACTGACATCTGGTAGGCTATATTTTCAACCCAGAGACAGACAGAGACAGACAGGCAGAGACAACACAGTTGATAGTCACCAGTCACTAGGAGGTCAAACAGAGTGGAAATGCTATCATGCTGCAGTTATCAACAACAAAACAACGCTATGACCATACAAAGACCATCAACAACTTTGTCTAAAGGACTAGCCTCTCTACAATGATGGTTGCTAATAAAGAGAAAATACACATCCCATTCCTTGGTATATTTAATATATTTAAATGATATTAACCACACCTTAAGTTTTCATTAATTTGAAAGAGCGTCTCGCACTGGGCCCAAGTGCAAAGTGTTTACATAGGACTACTTGATTAACAATCATAATTTCTACATATAGTCGGTTTTTGAATGTGTATGTTTCACTGTCACAACGTAAGAGAGTGTTACGTCTTTAAGTTGTATAAATGTAACTGTGTGTGTTAGAAAGAGAGGAGAGGGAGAGAATTTGCATTACACTTACTTTTGAATTACTATTGTTCACAACAGGATGATTGACGGTTGTCCTTAAAGGAAGCTTATACTGAAAGTGTGTGTGTGTGTGTCCTCTGTTCTCCATGCCTTAATTGCGTGTGTGTAGTGAAGCATGAAGTCAGGATGAGGCCTCAGGGCCAGTCCACTCCAAACCCCATCAATACACCATTATCAACAAACTACATTTCTTTATCTCTCACACACACACAAACAAACAGGCTGAGACAGTCTCTCACACACACACACACACACACACACACACACACACACACACACACACACAGACACACACACTCACAATACTAACAGTGAACAGCAAGGTCACATCGAGAGTGGTAGTAATATGAAGGGAAATGTAAATGTGCTGTCATCAACGAACGGTAGTTAAACTCACTCATACAAGAGTCACTGGCATCAGGTGGCATCAGTATAGTTAAGAGATAAATATGATGAAGATTTTCATAATCAACTCCTCCAGCACAATAGATACCCTAAAGTAAAATAAAACGTGAGCTGTTCCTATTTCAAACAACTTCAGAATAAAATAAAAACATACATTCATTATTTATGTCTAAGATAAAGATGTATCTTTGTGAAGGGGCATCTGTTCAGTGTTGTGGATGATATACACTGATATACACACACATCCATTACGGCCAAGTAATTAGCGGCAGGGGGGTGGTTTTACAGACCACAGCAGAAGATGGTGGCTTCCTTCTAGAAAACTATAACAGTGCGCAAAGTGCCCAGGCTCTCTTTTAGCCAATGCAGGGCAGGCAGCCGCGGGAAAGAAACACCATTGTGTCAGCTGCACCAGAACTGTCACATTTCCTCACGTCTCACCCTCCATCCATTACCAGGGGGTCCTACGGTGGCCATTGTTGGGCAATGGGGCCTGCAAAAGATGTCTAGGGGTGGAAGAGCAGTGGCGGGGGGGGGGGGGGGTTTGGGGGGAGGACGATGACAAAAGAGACCTATCTGTCCCGTCTCAGGCCACTCTGAGTCGTATGTGTGTGTGCCTGTGTGTGTGTGTGTGTGTGTGTCTCAGCATGTGTGCATGTGTGTGTTTGTGTGTCACTACAGGCTTTTCACTGTGTGTGCTGTTCCAGCGAAACAGCCAAGAAACTGGCATGGGCTTCAGAATGGGAGTTGAGTTAGACGAGTGTGGTGGCAGGTGTTAACAGGGCAGACGCTGACGGATTAGCGTACAGACCGAGTGGCACAGTGTCTCTGGAAGGGGGGAGAGACAGGGAGGGGGGTGGTTAGTGGTAATTAAGGGGTTAAGGTGAAGGCCGGGCCGGGCCGGGTGATGATGGGTTAACACAATGGGGGGGATGGTGAGATGATGTCAGAGCGAAAGGAGGCAACAGATGGTGGTGGAGGGCCGTCAGGCCTGTGTGTGTGTATGTGTGTCTTACAAGCAGGCTAAATGAGTCACCCCCGGTACAGTTTTCGGGAGAGTATGAAGTGTTTCCAACTAGTTACCAACTAGGTAATTGTTAGGTTTAGGGTCATAAAAATCCATATAGCAACCTTAACTAGCCTAATTGCTTTAAGTCAGCAACACCATCTTTTTATAAACCCTCACAAAATGTAAGACAGACATGAGCAATTCCATGGTCAAACTTATCAATTTCCACTGAACATTTGGTAAAAACACATTTACTTGAAGAACAAAAGTTTTGTAACAGAATGACGGCACAAACAGCACAAGCTGTCAGTCTGTTACAAAACTTTGCATCTGCACTGTTTTTCAAGTAAATGTGCTTTGTAAAATGTTCTGGAAATTGTTAAATGTAGCCCTTGTGCATAGCGTTGTATGGTTTGTTGAACTTTGCAATCATTGGTTTTTGTTTGACATACATTTTAAAGTAAAAAATCTTAGTCTCAACATAATTATGTTGGAATTGCCCACATCCAGACATACTCAGACACTAAATATCACCACCAAACTTTCCTGAATAGAAAACACACACAACATACACACACAAAAACAAACCAAGAATAGTATTTCTTTCAGAGGGTTTAAACACATGCTGTGTCATTTAGTGGAGTGAGAAGGCTTCTGACAGTGTGTTGTGTGTTCCGACCTCTCTAACGTCTGGCTGTTCCTTTATTATGTCACTGTTCGTATAAATCTCAGTGTTCTTCAAAAGCCCAAACTAAACAGAAATGGGCCTAATAGAGAACACCATGATCTTGAATGATCATTGATTTGTGCATTAGACAACATGCTAATAGAAACAAAGAGCAAAAAGACGCTATTTGAAAAAGGTACAATCTGCAATATTTACAATTCAAAACAAATTTAGCAGTGTGCCTTTTAAAGATCTATTAGCTCTACGTTGAACCTTACAAAGAAGGTAAGCTCTATTGAAGATGAGAGGGGCAGTGTTCCCTCAATTGGTCTACATGAAGGAAGGCAATACAATATATAGGCCAGGGGTTTCCAACCCTGTTCCTGGACAGCTATTGTCCTGTCGGTTTTCACTCCAATCCTAATCTAGCGCACCTGATTCTAATAATCAGCTGATTGATAAACTTAATCAGGTTAGTTAAAACTGGGGTTGTAGCAAAAACTTACAGGAGGGTAGCCCTCCAGGAACAGGGTTGGAGAGCCCTGATATACAGTGGGGGAAAAAAAGTATTTAGTCAGCCACCAATTGTGCAAGTTCTCCCACTTAAAAAGATGAGAGAGGCCTGTAATTTTCATCATAGGTGCACGTCAACTATGACAGACAAAATGAGAAAAAAAAATCCAGAAAATCACATTGTAGGATTTTTAATGAATTTATTTGCAAATTATGGTGGAAAATAAGTATTTGGTCAATAACAAAAATGTCTCAATACTTTGTTATATACCCTTTGTTGGCAATGACACAGGTCAAACGTTTTATGTAAGTCTTCACAAGGTTTCACACACTGTTGCTGGTATTTTGGCCCATTCCTCCATGCAGATCTCCTCTAGAGCAGTGATGTTTTGGGGCTGTCGCTGGGCAACACAGACTTTCAACTCCCTCCAAAGATTTTCTATGGGGTTGAGATCTGGAGACTGGCTAGGCCACTCCAGGACCTTGAAATGCTTCTTACGAAGCCACTCCTTCGTTGCCCGGGCGGTGTGTTTGGGATCATTGTCATGCTGAAAGACCCAGCCACGTTTAATCTTCAATGCCCTTGCTGATGGAAGGAGGTTTTCACTCAAAATCTCACGATACATGGCCCCATTCATTCTTTCCTTTACACGGATCAGTCGTCCTGGTCCCTTTGCAGAAAAACAGCCCCAAAGCATGATGTTTCCACCCCCATGCTTCACAGTAGGTATGGTGTTCTTTGGATGCAACTCAGCATTCTTTGTCCTCCAATCACGACGAGTTGAGTTTTTACCAAAAAGTTCTATGTTGGTTTCATCTGACCATATGACATTCTCCCAATCCTCTTCTGGATCATCCAAATGCACTCTAGCAAACTTCAGACGGGCCTGGACATGTACTGGCTTAAGCAGGGGGACACGTCTGGCACTGCAGGATTTGAGTCCCTGGCGGCATAGTGTGTTACTGATGGTAGGCTTTGTTACTTTGGTCCCAGCTCTCTGCAGGTCATTCACTAGGTCCCCCCGTGTGGTTCTGGGATTTTTGCTCACCGTTCTTGTGATCATTTTGACCCCACGGGGTGAGATCTTGTGTGGAGCCACAGATCGAGGGAGATTATCAGTGGTCTTGTATGTCTTCCATTTCCTAATAATTGCTCCCACAGTTGATTTCTTCAAACCAAGCTACTTACCTATTGCAGATTCAGTCTTCCCAGCCTGGTGCAGGTCTACAATTTTGTTTCTGGTGTCCTTTGACAGCTCTTTGGTCTTGGCCATAGTGGAGTTTGGAGTGTGACTGTTTGAGGTTGTGGACAGGTGTCTTTTATACTGATAACAAGTTCAAACAGGTGCCATTAATACAGGTAACGAGTGGAGGACAGAGGAGCCTCTTAAAGAAGAAGTTACAGGTCTGTGAGAGCCAGAAATCTTGCTTGTTTGTAGGTGACCAAATACTTATTTTCCACCATAATTTGCAAATAAATTCATTAAAAATCCTACAATGTGATTTTCTGGATTTTTTCCCCTCAATTTGTCTGTCATAGTTGACGTGTACCTATGATGAAAATTACAGGCCTCTCTCATCTTTTTAAGTGGGAGAACTTGCACAATTGGTGGCTGACTAAATACTTTTTTCCCCCACTGTAGGCTATAGCCTAGCTTAGCTA